CCTCTGCTCCGATGCTGCCGCAAAAGAAGATCTTCACCCAAAGCTCATCCAAGTGGCTTATTGGGAGGGAAGAATCCAGTAGAGTGGCTGCCCTCTGCTGGAGTGGCAGAGGACAGCCTTATAGTGTGAACAGCCACAAGCTGAACAGACACAGGGTTTGTATAGAGCTTCCTGGGTGGGGATTAGTCAGATTTTAATGCTGAGCTCAGATTGGCTAGAGATCCTGCTCGAGGATTGGTTAGTTTTTTGTACAGGGTTAGGGTCAGATATGGCTCTGGTTTCAGGGCCAAAGTGTGTTTCTTTCTCTGGTCCTTTTTAGCCTTTTGGCTCCAATTTTAGGGTCAGGGTACACTTTCACTGACTCTGATTCCAGGGACAAAGTGTGTTCCTTTGGCACTGGTTTCAGGGTCAGGGTACATTTCCTTGGTTCTGGTTGCAGGGCCAAAGTGTGTTTATTTGGTTGGACTTTTTTTCCTACATTCCCCCCTTTTTTGTTTAATAAAACTGGGATTTGGAATATGGGTGGTGTTATCATTAGACTACTTCCTGTCGAATTGGGGCATAGAGTTTTATGGGACAATCTTCATCTTTGTCCAGATGTGTCTAGGTGTTGCAGCCCTCTGGCTCCATAGCTAGGGACTGGTAATCCTGTAACAGCAACTGGTTCAAAGTCTGGTTAGAAACCCTTTGAACTTGTTGTTGGAATCTAGACAAGAAGTTTGTAAGGCAGGGTGCCACTAGTAGGATTAAGAAGAGAGAGAGAAGAGGGTTTTAGAAAGATAGCATCTAGGGCTGGAGAAATGGCTCAGCGATTAAGAGCACTGACTGCTCTTCCAGAGGTCCTGAGTTCAATTCCCAGCAACCACATGGTGGCTCACAACCATTTACAATTTAATCTGGTGCTCTCTCCTGGCATATAGGCAGAACACTGTATATGTAATAAATAAATAAATCTTTAAAAAAAAAGAAAGGTAGCATCTAGTTTTATATTGGATTATTAGTGATCCAGTGACCAGGAGCATCAAGCTGTTCCTTAAGTTTTTGCAGGTCTGTTTGAGGTTATGGTGCACGTCTTTAATCCCAGCACTGGGGAGGCAGAAGCAGGGGATCTTTGTGAGTTCGAGGTCAGCCTGGTCTACAGAGCGAGTTCCAGGACAGCCTCCAAACAATACAGAGAAACCCTGTCTCGAAAAACCAAAAAAAAAAAAAAAAAAAAAAAAAAAAAAAGACTGTGGGTCTGGGTTAGTCCAAGTAAAGGCAAAGATATTCTGTGACTGGGGGTCCAGAGGAGTAGAAAAGGAGGCATCCTTGAGGTCACTGACAGAAATAAGGTTTTTGAGGGAGTGGTGGAGAGGAGACTTTAAGGATGAAGGGCAACTGATGCTGAGTGGAGGAATTGTCTGGTTTGGGCTTCATAGCTAAGAGTTGTTTCCTCCTTAGTAGGCTTATGTAAAAATGACATACCACGTGGTTCCTTTAAGATATCTTAGCAAAAGGTTTAGAGAACAAAAGTGTATGAGTAGCAATAGTTCCCATTGGGAATAGTGTGTCCCTTTATTTTGTTTTGTTTTCCTTTCTGTCACATAGCAGGTGGCTCTCCTGATATGGGACAGAGATTTTTGGAGGAAACCTTTTAAATAAGCATGCTTGGGTCTAGAGGAGGGGGAGCCATACCCCAACTCCAGAGCCAGCTTTTAACTGAAGTGGGACAGAATTAAACAATAGTCCCATGCCACCCATACCCGAAGGATACTGAATCCAGTAAGCTTAACAAACAAGGGTTAAGATGGGGATTTTGAACCCTAGACAGAGACGAAGGACACTGTAGGAAGGAGCTGAGAGATGCAGCAGCCAGGGAGGAGTGTACATCACAGCTGGCCTGCATCCAGGGAGGAGTGTACATCACAGCTGGCCTGCATCCAGGGAGGAGTGTACATCACAGCTGGCCTGCATCCAGGGAGGAGTGTACATCACAGCTGGCCTGCATCCAGGGAGGAGTGTACATCACAGCTGGCCTGCATCCAGGGAGGAGTGTACATCACAGCTGGCCTGCATCCAGGGAGGAGTGTACATCACAGCTGGCCTGCATCCAGGGAGGAGTGTACATCACAGCTGGCCTGCATCCAGGGAGGAGTGTACATCACAGCTGGCCTGCATCCAGGGAGGAGTGTACATCACAGCTGGCCTGCTCCTTTACTTTTGTCCCCTACGTGATCCAGCTTCTACTCCATCTATCAATAGCCACTTAAAAGACAGGACATTTACACAGTGTGTGTGTGTGTGTGAGGCAAAGACCAGATATAAACTGGGCTTGGAGTGGAGAAAAGAGAAGGTTGAATGTAGGGAGAGAATCTCCTTCCATTTCCCCGATCGCTCTGAGTAGTTGTAAAGGTCCCAGATAATATTGAGATCTAGAGTGTCATTATGTGGCCACTTGGACTGATTATCTAAGGGGTATTTAGACCAAATTTGATTATAAAAGTGAGTAAGTTTAAGACCCTTCAGTTTAGGTGTCAGGTTAGAGGCTGGAGGTTTTCTAAGAGGCATCCCAAGGGGGAATGAGAGGGTGTGGATGACACCGTTGCCATGGATGAGAAGGAAAAGGTCACTGCAGCCTGTAGTCAAGGGCATCCCCAGGACTCAGGGAGGACCACAGAACGAGGACCAAGCTCTTCAGAGGGTCTTCGCCCAACTCAGCGGGGGTCAGGCTTAGCCCGGCTAAGCCAGAAGAGACTCGGTGCCTGGTACCAGGGCTTTTCTAGAGGTCAGGAGGCATAGAGAGAAACCGAGTTCTAAGAGGATCTCATCCACAGGAAAGGGTCAGGAATGGAGTCGCAGAAGCCACAAGGGCCTAGAGGAGCTGTGCGATGACAGCCAGCTCCCTGGGGGAGACAGGAAAGAGGGTTGGGGGGGGGGCAATGACCCGATTGGGCCTAATGAAACTGCAGGATTGCAATTCCCAAGGGTGGTTGGATGGGGTCAGGTGAAGAGGACCAGCTATAGCCTTAAGGACTGTGGCTGGAGGGACATGAGCCTCTAAGAGTACCAGAGGAGTGCCAGACAATCAATGGTCACTTCCTTGGTCTCAGGGAAACATTTACAGGGACTGAAGGGAAAACTTATGCAGCTGTTGACAGTGAATGGAATGCTGAGCAATCGGTGAGCTGGATGAGTCTGTTGTAGGTGGACTGGGGATGACGGGTAGGGTCCTAGTGTGGCTCAGACCATGATGGGGAGCACGGGCACCAGCAGAGCCTATCTAAGTCAAGACACCAAATTTAGGCATTTCAGGAGGAACGGGATGGGACAGGTATTCTGGCACTCGGGAGTCACAGAATACTGAGTGTTACACAACTCAGGTGAAAAGGTATCCTGGAGCTCGGGAGTCACAGAATACTGAGTGTTACACAGCTCAGGTGGAAAAGTATCCTGGAGCTTACAGCCCTGCCTGAGGGAAAGTGTTATCGGCTCTGCTCCAGCAGGAGAGGGTCTCCCAGCTGGGGATGTTCGCCCAGTGTAGCAGTTTTGTTCAGGCAGGAGGTTTCCCTGGCGAAGTTGCTACGGTTCAGCTCTGCTCCCCAAGAGTGGAGGGCCCGAGTGTAACACCTCTGCTCTGCCAGGGAAGGTTTCCCTGGCAAAAGTGTTACAGCCCTGCTCGCTCTGCTCACTCTGCTGTGCTCTGCCCAGGGTCGCCTCTGCTCCACCGCTGCCGCAAAAGATCTTCACCCAAAGCTCTTGGGAGGGAAGAAACCAGGAGAGTGAATAGCCACAAGCTGAACAGACACAGGGTTTATATAAGGCTTTCTGGGTGGGGATTAGTCAGATTTTAATGCTGAGCTCAGATTGGTTAGAGCTCCTGCTCGAGGATTGGTTAGTTTTTTGTACAGGGTTAGGGTCAGATATGGCTCTGGTTTCAGGGCCAAAGTGTGTTTCTTTCTCTGGTCCTTTTTAGCCTTTTGGCTCCAATTTTAGGGTCAGGGTGCATTTCTTTCACTGACTCTGATTTCAGGAACAAAGTGTGTTCCTTTGGCACTGGTTTCAGGGTCAGGGTACATTTCCTTGGTTCTGGTTGCAGGGCCAAAGTGTGTTTATTTGGCTCTGCTCAGAGTGTGTTTCTTTTTTTCTTTTTTTTTTTTTTTAAAGATTTATTTATTTATTACAAACACAACACCCTGCCCCCATGTATGTCTACACATCAGAAGAGGGCACCAGATCTCATTACAGATGGTTGTGAGCCACCATGTGGTTGCTGGGAATTGAACTCATGACCTCTGGAAGAGCAGTCAGTGCTCTTAACCTCTGAGCCATCTCTCCAGCCCCAGAGTGTGTTTCTTTGGCTGAACCTTTTTCCCTACAGTGGTGGCACACACCTTTAATCCCAGCCCTCTCAAGGCAGAGGCAGGCTCTTGTGAGTTCATGGCCAGCTTGGTCTAATAGTTTCAGGACAGCCAGGGCTACACAAAGAAACCCTGTCTCTAAAAACAAATAAACAAAACAATAACAAGTTATATAAATGAAATCACAAGATAGAAAGTAGTTCTAAGTAGCATTTCATGGTGTGAATATACCATAGTTTTAAAACCCATTGAAACAATCTATGCTTTCTGGTTTAGAGCTCTTAAAGATAGAGTTGTAATGAATGCTTCCATATAGAGTTTTGTGTGGACATAATCTTTTTTTTTTTTAATCTCCAGAACAAATGCCTAGGGGTTCTATGCCAATGTTTTATCATTAGTATGTGTTTAGCTTAGTTTTTTTGCATAAGAAACTACCAAATATTTTTGCAGAATTACTGTACCAATTTACATTCACATCAACAATGTAAGAGTGATCCAACCCCCTATATTCTTGTTACCATTTGCTATTGTTGCTTTAAGAAAACAAGTTAACCATTCCATTTATTGAGAATTCATTTATCATAGAATCCATTGCTTAGGTAGATAGTAGTCAGTTGTTTTAAATACACATACAGGCATGTATTTCTTTCTTTTCTTTTCTTTAAGGGGAGAGTGTGAGCGCAGTCCCCCACTACCACAAATTATGCAGTTGAGTTTTCTGCATTTGGGGAAATCACAGGGGTCAGCATATCTGGAGTGCAGTAGATGAGTCTAGCCCTGGGAAAACCACCTTCATGATCATGGTCTCTCTCCTGCAAGGTAAGTATCAACCTTGTATTTCTATTACCACTAATTCCAGACCATTTCAATTACCACAGAAAAAGAAACCAAATGTACATTTTCATCTCTTCTATGTGGACTTGCCTAGTCTAGATATACCAAATAAATGGAAATTTTATAACAACTGACCTTTTGTTTAGCTTCTTTCATTTAGAATAGAGTTTTAAGTGTCGTCCATGTTTTAGTCACTTTCAAATTAGTACAGTTGCTGTACTTTTAAATTGCAGACTTTCTTTTCATTTTCTGTTTATAATTTTAAAATTATTGTGTAACATGTTTAGCAAAACAGGTTTCTTTTAGATAGATTTTTAATTAGTTCTTTGACTATTTCATATGTATTTTTTTTATCATTTTCACCCCCTTCTCCAACTCCTAAATTTGCCCCTGCTTTCCTATTCACCCAGTTGTGTGTCCTTAAAAAAATCAAGTCTAATGTGTAGCAGCCCAAATATTCTTAGACATGTGACTTCCACTGGAACATGGCTGACTTAACAGTAGCTACATTCTTAGATAAAACTGAACTTACCTTTTCCAGCAGCTAGTTATTAATTACCGATAGCTTCTCAGGTAGCGGTGGGTCCACCTTCCCTCTCCATGCTGGGATCTAGTGTGGTTTCGGCTTGCACAAGTCTTTGGCATGCTGTCACAAGCATATGTATAGCTAAATGAACAATACTAAGCTGACATTTATACCCATATACTAATATAGCAGTGACTCTTTCGACCCTCATTAGAGATGCTTCTATTTTCAATAGATGGTGATTAACACAGAGACCCATAACTGACTATGGAGACTGGGGATCTCTTACTCTGTTTTCTAGATAAATCCATATCTATTCCATATGATTTCCATTGTTTTATAGCTAGTAGAATTTGTCATATGGCCCAGGATGCAGTCTATGCTCCTGTACTTTGATACAGGTATTTACATTCATCTGAATTCCCTATGCATTAATTTGAGAACTAATCATTTGCAACATAATTCCCTATTCATTATTTCCATTTTACTTCTGTAGCTACTGTCAGAGTCTTAATGAATGCTAATTTTCTTAAATTTCTTCTGCTTGTGTGTGTGTTTGGGAATGTGCATAGAATCCACTACTAATGTGAATTGAGAGAATTAATTTCTTAGCTGTAGTTTATATAATTGCCTGTAGGTGGCAGCAATGCAACACTAAAAACCAACTCCTTTTTCTTTATCCTTTGTGTTTTAAAGAAATGGAAATGGGTGTTTTCTGCTCTCTTGAAAGCTGGAATACTCCCTTGGAAAATAGCCCTTTTAAGTATGTTTGTCAATTTAAGACATGAAAAAGATTATTTGTAAGTGCCGTTTACAAATGGCAGGCCAGGTTTACATTTGCATGTTTTTATTGGCTATTTTCCCTTCTAATTTATCCTTTCATCTATTGTTAATTTTCCTGTTTGAGGTTAAAAGGAAAACTTACTGCTTTTTCTATCATCATATCTCATTATGGAAAATTAAAAATATCAGAAAGACTCTAGGATAGAACAAAACCTACATATTACCATTATTAACATTTTAATACATTTTACCCATTCCTGTATTATTAATGTGTTGGTGGGATATTGTAAGCTTACATTATTTATTTTGTCCAGTTTACTTGCTAGTTTTTAAATAAAATTGATAGCGACCCTCTATCTTACTAGGCCTTTTCTGTGTATCCTTTAAAGTAAATAAAAAATGTAAAGTTTGAGATGCTGTCTGAAAATTAGGAGTGGTAGAGGGAGATACTTGACATTGATCCCCGGTCTTCACATGCATGTGTGCATATGAGCGCACACACAATTCAGAATAATAAATAGTAAGTTTTTATGTAAGCTATGATAATTAACCTGAAATCTCTAAACTCATCTGTGAAGAAGTTACATCTTTAAAATAGCTTTGTATACATGTAACAACAATTGCTGAAAAATGAGCCCATGAATTCGAAAGAAAGTAAGGAGGAGTAGGAACATGGGAGGATTTGGAGGGAGGAAAGAGAAGGGAAAATGATGTAGGTGTAATCTCAAAAATAAAAGAAGCAGTATTAGTAAAATAATTAGTCATTCTATTCAGGCATATAGCTTATATCTTTGTTACTTATTGGTTTAGCGCCTTTTGTCTGCTCTGGCACATGTGACCTTCAAAGGACGACATTCAGGAGTGGTGCGTTTTCACCATATGAGTTCTGGTGAGCTAACTCTGCTTACCAGGCCTGTAGGCAAGTGACTTTACCTGCTGAGCCATTTGCTGGCTCAGCGCTTTCTCCTTCAACACATTTCTGGGATTTTTTTTCTTTTCCTCATAGCGACTAAGAGTAGTCTGACACTGAGTGGGGAAAATTGGACAGTGGGTGGTGAAACTGAAGGCCATTGACTTCCTTAGATATTAAATGGAAAAGTTAGCGCGTTTTCATTTTATTATACAGTACACGTCGTACCGAAATGTTTAAAGTACTATATGCTTATTGTTGAGACATTCAGAAATACAGAACAGCAGAACAGAGAAGAAAAAAAAATCTCAAAACCCACCCAGGATAGCTTAATATAGTTCCTTTGGCTTATTTTCAGGTCTTTGTCTGGTTTGTGTTTATGGTTGTACATTATCCATGCTTCTGAAAATCCAAACAGTATAGAAAAATACAAAGGTACGGAGTAAAAAGTGAAAGAAAAATTCCCCCCCAACATATTTCTTCACAACCCCAGCCCCACTCACGTAATAAGTACTGATATTCCAGGAGTCCGTTCAGAAGTGCATGTTTCTAGCTGGGCGTGGTGGTACCCTTCTTTAACCTCATACTCTGGAGTTTGAGGCCTGCATGTTCCAAATAGCAAGTTTCAGAGTAGTCAAAGCCACACAGTGAGATCATGTTTCAAAAGAAAAGCATGTGTTCATACTTTTTCATATACATAGGAACATATGTATGCGCATATACATAGAGACAGAAGGAGAGAGATAGACTAGATACATTTTCTTCATGGTTTAATTCATTATTATCCTTGACTATGCCTTGTTTCTTTGAAAAGAATGTTCATTTTATATTTTCACCATCAAAGTTTATATAATTATTAATTCAAGATTATTGTGTTCAAATTATTTTCATCTGTAATTATTACTTTTTAAAGTTTGATGTATGCGATCACAAGAAAGCTAAGAATCCATTCATTAAATAGCTGTGAGGGCTACCACACACCAGTTTCTGTTCTCCAGCCTCCAGTGATGTGGACAAACACAGCCTGCTACTGTCTTTTCATTGTCATCCCAGAACACGTGAGAAAACAACTCACACAAGGCAAGGGTCATTTTTGTTGGCAAGGGTCATTTTTGTTCATGGTTTCAGAAGCTTCAGTGCATGATCAGCTGCTGTCATTGTTCTCCATTGGGTAGATCTGGTGGAGCAGTACTGCTCCCCTCATAGTGGCTGAGGATCAGAGAGGGGAAGGGATTAAGGGACAAGATAATAGTTGCTTCTTGCAGCTCAGCCTCACCTCCTAATAGTCCCTTCTGATGTGATTCCATCATTAGGCAATCCATTGGAAACTTAGAACCCTCATGGTCCAGTCACCTGCTGACAGCCCATCAGAAGAAAGCAGACCCAAGCCTTCAAGGACTATTTCAGATTCAAAGCCATACAAAAAGAAACAGAAGCCCATGTGTTTGTGGAACAGATACACAGAAGCAACTAGCTATTAATGTCTACCATTGCCATATGTGCATATTTTATTCTTCACATTAAAGGTTATTATTTTTAACTTTGTCAGTATGGTAGAGATCAATTTATGATCCTCTTTTTATTCTGCATACCTTTTTTTAAGACAGTCCTTTTTTCATTTTTTTAAATTGAAAGTAAAATATGCAACTTGGAAGATGTAACAATCTACTCATATCTTTTTCCTTTGCTCTTTAAGCCTCGTGTGACTTAACAGTAGTGTGGGGATTGACACATGTAATTTTCCTTTAAAATACCAGTTAAGGCACAAATACATGTAATACGTAAACACTCTTCACAAAACAAGAACACGTGAAAGATGCATGAGTGATAATTTCTTTCTTTTTTGGGGGAGGGCGTTTGAGACAGGGTTTTTCTGTGGCTTCGGAGGCTGTCCTGGAACTTACTTTGTAGACCAGGCTGGCTTTGAACTCACAGAGATCCGCCTGCCTCTGCTTCCTGATTGCTGGGATTAAAGGTGTGCACCACCAACACCCGGCTGAGTGATAATTTCTTGAGAGCTTTAAATAAGCACAACATACAGTGAAGCAAACATATACACTTGAGTTGTTCAGGAGCAGGAGTTAAATCCTGGGACTAACAGGAAGGTAAAAACAGTCCAATAGCAGGCTATAGATAACTGTGAGAAATTACATCACTGTTTCCCTTGTGGGAGTTCTGCCCTCGACCCTGTCCTCTCTGACGAAGCTACTTAACACCCCCTTTGTCATTTTCTAGGGATGGTTGGTGTAAAATAGCTTCTTTTCTCACACAATATATCCTAATTATGGTGACCCCTCTCTACGCCCCCCATTTCCTCTCTACCTCTCCTCCAGATGCATTCCCTTTCTTCTAAGAGATAACAATGAAACATGACAAAATAAAATATAAGATAAAGCAAACAATTTCACAGCAAACTTGGCCATCACAGCCCAATAGAAGAAAAAGAGTCCCAAGAGCAGGCATAAGAGTCAGAGAGACCCACTTGTTCCTATAGTTTGGCGTCCCATAAAAGTGCTAAGCTAATAGCTGTAGAGGACCAGTTGTGGACCCATGCAGGTCCTGTGCTTGCTGCTCCCATCTCTTTGAGCTCATGTTTCTCTTTCAGTAACAAAGTACCTTCCCACACGAAAGAGACTAGAACATAGGAGTGAGGGCTACATGTAGGCACCAGCTTGACTTCTCCATGTTCAGTGAGTTGTGTGGATACTGTCCTCTGCAATGGGCCCCTGCTGTCAGTATGTGGAGAGCAACACTTTGACTTAGCTTGAGCCTGG